ACTTTTAAGGAATTAGGCAAGACCGGTAGTACAAACATTGTACATATTTTGATATTTTTAGGTCAAAGAGCATGCGCAGAGAAGTCCAAATTAAACATGATTTAATGACTCGTAAATGTAAGTACACATTGATGGCCTAAGACACGAAACGAGCGGTTTGTGTGAGAAAACAAACTTACCTTCTTGTAACCACAGCCACGTCTAAGTGCGCCGTCACTCATTGTTTACACAGAAAAAATATTGTAGGTAAGACAGCTAATTAAAATGGTACTAATTTGCACTTATCCAGTAGATTTAAACCGTTGTGAAAGAAAACAATGCTCGCGCAAACTCTTCTTCACTTCCGAAGAGATGCGCCCGCGCCCTCAGATCACTTGGACATGGCTGTGGTTACACGAGGTAAAAACGATATAAATACTAGGGCTGGGTATTGAGACAAATTTCACAATTCGATTCGATTTCGATTCACAAGCTTGCAATTCGATTCGATTTCGATTACGATTCGATTCAATATCGATTATTTTGGATATCAGTTACAATAAATGGCAATTTTTCTCAAGGGAATCAAATCTCTTAAATGCTGTAAACTATGGGAGTCTAGTTGTAGCCTATAGACTTCATTAGCCTAATATGAAGGTGATGACATTGAAACAACGTTGATTTTGCTCATCGAATTAACGTTGAACCAACGTCAGACGCGGCATTCTTCAAAGCTAAATGAAAATCGAAAATTGGTTTGCTTTCATAAAGTTGAAACAACGCGTTGATTTCATGTTGATTTTCCGTTAGTTTTGAAAGAATGACGCGTCTGACGTTGGTTCAACGTTAATTCGATGAGCAAAACAATGTCAGATCAACGTTGTTTCTATGTCATATTTCCACGTTGATTCAATGTCAGTTTGCTATCTGGGAGCGCTGCTGCTTCTCTGGAGCTGCGCCAGAGCGATCTCACGCCACAGCGCCAAAACGCCATTTACGTTTTTGAACTCCTAAAGAAAATGGACGTAATTTAAAAATTGAGACTTTGTTCCATATCAATAGTAACAAAGGACCAGGATTATTGCGATTTGTTGGATGCGCGCAGCCGCGATACAATGTCTCATTCATTTAAATGAAACAGGATGACTAATCGATTCTTGAGATTTAAGAATCGATATCGGTTTGTAAAAATGAGAATCGATTAATATCGAGAAATCCATATTTATTACCCAGCCCTAATAAATACTGTTCGTTTTCTCACGCAAACCGCTCGTTTCGTGTCTTAGGCCATCAATGTGTACTTACATTTACGAATCATTAAATCATGTTTAATTTGGACTTCTCTGTGCATGCTCTTTGAGGTGGTGACCATAGACCTGCATTATATGACTGACAGACAAGAACGCTTTGACCCAAAAATATCAAAATTGAAAATAATGTGGAAACAAAGACACCTACATCTTGGATGCCCTGGAGGTAAGATAAAACATACCAACAATTAATTTCAAAGTGAACTATCCCTTTAAGTCGTTCCAAACCCATAAGACTTGTGTTCATCTTCAAAAGTCAAATGAAGATATATTTTAATAAAACCTGAGACATTTATGTCCCTCCATTCTACCTCAGAAAGTTCATGCAGGGTCTCATATTCATAGTTATAATCAATTGTCAATTATTGTCAATCATCATTGTTTTGTAAATGTAATCATGTGGCGTCCACATTTCTGGAATATAGCATACAGTTTTCTTGCATTAATCCAGTTGCATTAATATTGTCGACCACATACATTCATATTGTCCAACTGGTTTTGTCTTTTTAACTCTGAAAGTGGATTAAATTGCAAGTAATGTGGTTTAAGTAGAGTCCAATGCTGCTAATTTAAGTAGCACAATTTATGTACTGCTTAGATAATGATGCTTTTGGCAAAGCGATTTAGAGATTAAACTACTTGTGTGCTTTGGAAAAAAAAAAGACTATTCTAAACTAAAAATATTCAGGATATGCCAGGCCTGAAGCGAGTAAGCGTAGGGGTTGAGAGACGATTGCAAGCAAAGGCATCTGACATAATTTATGTATTTGGTTTGAGTTTGTTCAAAGCCTGTCCTAATAAGTCCAGGACAACTGATGGAAGGGAAGCAGCCAGCTCCTATCCCTGAGGACAAAGGCTGTGTCAGAACTGGCCCAAATTAGGAATAAACTAAAGGAAATCCTGCAAACCAGTAGAGCCAGTAAGGAGACGGGCAACTTACCTAGCCCCATTCAAAGGGTAATCGTCACTCCGCTGCAGGCCTGTAATCACACACACACACACACATGCCAGAGTAATGCAGCTGCATGAATGTCCAGCTGTTGAGATGCCATCTTCTATCTAGAGCAATAGCCCAAACAGGGATTTTGGACTCTGGCCCAGTTAGACTTTTGATATCAGCATAAGATCTGGTCCATTTAGTAGCTTATTCAAGCCAAGAACATGTTTGTTATGTTTGGGATTTGGGTAAATATGAAATCCTTGATTGACCTGCTGGACTAATAAGTGGTCCCGGTTTGACTGGTGAGCCTGTTAGCTCCTGGTGGCTGATCCCTCAACTACACCATCTGAGTCTGATGGACCAATCAGGTTGGAGCTTGAGCTTTTGAGTGCAGCAGTCTGTCTGAGATCTAGCACTACTCCCCACAACCATTACCAAGTTTAGTCACACGTCCAAATTGTTTGGAGAACATAAGGACTTTTCACATCTCTTCAAATGAATTACACAATATTTATATTTAACGTCAGTAATACATACTTTTCATGGCTTTTACAAATGTCTACTTCCAATATGACATTCATAGGTCAGTATTTTCTTAACTGAAATTGAAATGTCTCTGCTACATTGAAGGCCCCTTTAGAATAAAGAGATAGAGAGAGAGAAGCAATTCTGAAACACTCTTGAATAATTTTGCGCATTCTGGTTGGCTGACATGTCTGTGGAGTGTGAGGCTTTAGAGAGAGGTTGAAAGAATGGTAGCAGTCTAATCCAGAAGTTCAGTCTGGTGGGAGTCAGCAAAATGGCCGAAATTGCTTAATACACATTTAACTGCTATCTTTAGAGACTGTTTAATAGGCTTTTTAAGAGGTACTTTTACAACATTACCAATCATACCATTGTTTAAATAAGCAGTGTGCATAGATGTTAGTGTTTTGTAGGAGAACACATTATTCATCAGCCAACAGTGAAGTAAGAACATAGAAATGCTGAAAAGATCGACATTCTGGTCAACCAGTTTGGATGCTGGTTTCCTCTCCAGGGTTCTTCACTATCTTGAAAAAGTCTTGATAACGTTGTTAATTTAGATAACGTTGTTAATATTTCATGATTTGTTTGTAAAAGTCTAAATCTGTTGTCACCGTGAACATTTGTAAATATCATTTAAGGGTAATACACTCACCTAAAGGATTTTTAGGAACACCATACTAATACTGTGTTTGACCCCCTTTCGCCTTTAGAAATGTTGGCCCATATTGATAGGATAGCATCTTGCAGTTGATTCAGATTTGTGGGATGCACATCCAGGGCACGAAGCTCCCGTTCCACCACATCCCAAAGATGCTCTATTGGGTTGAGATCTGGTGACTGTGGGGGCCATTTTAGTACACCAATTTGAAATGATTCAAGCTTTGTGACATGGTGCATTATCCTGCTGGAAGTAGCCATCAGAGGATGGGGACATGGTGGCCATAAAGGGATGGACATGGTCAGAAACAATGCTCAGGTAGGCTGTGGCATTTAAACGATGCCCAATTGACACTAAGGGGCCTAAAGTGTGCCAAGAAAACATCCCCCACACCATTACACCACCACCACCAGCCTGCACAGTGGTAACAAGGCATGATGGATCCATGTTCTCATTCTGTTTACGCCAAATTCTGACTCTACCATCTGAATGTCTCAACAGAAATCGAGACTCATCAGACCAGGCAACATTTTTCCAGTCTTCAACTCTCCAATTTTGTTGAGCTCTTGCAAATTGTAGAATCTTTTTTCTATTTGTAGTGGAGATGAGTGGTACCCGGTGGGGTCTTCTGCTGTTGTAGCCCATCCGCCTCAAGGTTGTGTGTGTTGTGGCTTCACAAATGCTTTGCTGCATACCTCGGTTGTAACGAGTGGTTATTTCAGTCAAAGTTGCTCTTCTATCAGCTCGAATCAGTCGGCCCATTCTCCTCTGACCTCTAGCATCAACAAGGCATTTTCGCCCACAGGACTGCCGTATACTGGATGTTTTTCCCTTTTCACACCATTCTTTGTAAACCCTAGAAATGGTTGTGCGTGAAAATCCCAGTAACTGAGCAGATTGTGAAATACTCAGACCGGCCCGTCTGGACGCTCAAAATGACTTAAATCACCTTTCTTTCCCATTCTGACATTCAGTTTGGAGTTCAGGAGATTGTCTTGACCAGGAGCACACCCCTAAATGCATTGAAGCAACTGCCATGTGATTGGTTGATTAGATAATTGCATTAATGAGAAATTGAACAGGTGTTCCTAATAATCCTTTAGGTGAGTGTATATCGATCATAAATTAATTGTATTTCTTGCATACAAAACTACCCATGTTGTTACCCTTGGCTAAATGTTGTAACACAGATGAGCAGAGGTTTTCCGCCAACCGCTTTGTACCCGCGTCAGTAATGAGATTATTCTTGGTTCATAGAGATGTGCATAATTATGCTTCATTTGCTTCAAGTGTTTTGGGAGAGTAAGGAACAGCCAATCAGACAGTGTTTTGTATAAGGAAAGAGTGTGTCACTGTCAGACGCAACGCAGCACTTTCATCTGCTGGAAATAATGCAATTATTTCTCCGCTCATATTCATGCAGTCAAAACAAATTTGCATGTTTGTACAGATTTTCCAATTATTGCAATTACTCACATGCCAAGATCATCCGATTCCATTTTGTAGGATTGGTAGAGAATTATGAAGTTGTTTGTACTGTAACTCGGTCATAAACAAACTCAAACTCGTCTTGTTCTGATTCCAGTTTGTTCGCAGTTCTCCAGAGGGGTGTACGCCATCTTCGGCTTCTATGACAAGAAGTCCATGAACACACTGACCTCCTTTTGTGGGGCTCTCCACACCTCCTTCGTCACCCCCAGCTACCCCATCGACTCAGACGTGCAGTTCGTCATCCAGATGCGCCCTCCTCTAAAGGGCGCCGTCCTGAGTCTCCTGTCTCACTACAAGTGGGACAAGTTTGTCTACCTCTATGACACAGACAGAGGTAAGTCCTCTTAGTTACTTCTGAAACTCCAAACAAAATGGCTGGCCTACATGAGTGAAAGAGTTACTGCTGATTTATATTGTTTTTGCGAGGTTTGTAGCACATAAGGAGCAGGCCATGATGGAGGATGGATGCCCCATTTGGGTCCTTAGGGTCTGGATAGGGCGCCTGCAGTACTGGTGCAAAGGTCCAGATATCTCTGGATACATGATGAATTTAGAACTGATGTGCCCCAGTTCTGAGCTGCATAGACGAATTTGGGGCCCTAAAATACTTATTAAATAGCTCACCTTACTTTCCTGGTACAGTTCGTCTGCATTAGCACTGCACAGGGAAATTGATTTCAAATAGTTCATTTAAACACATCCAATTATGTATAAGAATGATTCACCCCAAATTAGAAAGCTGTACCTTCTCACCCACAAGTTACTCTTTTCCTATAGGAACTCAAAAAGAGATGTTCTAAAGATGGTTAACATTGCTCTTGAACGCATAAAATGAAATGTCTCACAGAAAAACATACTATTTTACGAGGTGCAATTCCAAGCCCGTTCTCATCCCAAGGCGTCATATAGGTGACGCTTTTGAAATTGCATCTACATCCGACGCACATTTAGCGTCAATATGAGACGCAGATATATATGGGCCAGAAGGCGCCTCCTAGTGGTCTAACCCTAACACTACCCCAGACTTAAACCTACCCATAACCAAAGCGTGTTATATTGACGCCATGAGAATGCGTTGCAATTCTGTATGAATTTGTATGATGTGAATCATTTTTAGAAAATAAAAAGAGTGAGCATGAAGGTACACGCCTAAACATAACCATCATTTTGGTGCAAGATTGTAGGAAAACGTACAAATGAGATTCTTCGAACTCATACAATAGCCACCAAATCACCAAAATGTGAAATGAACTGCCATGAGTTAGTGACCAAAAAACACCAAAAAAGGAAGTCTAAATAACTTGTACCCTATATATATATATGAAGAGTTCAGATGCAAAAGCCTCTAAGTGCCATTTGAAATTTTCTTCTAAAATGACCATTTTTATCAAGCTTGTATATTTAAGTTCAGTGATTTCACTTAAATGGCAATGCTAATTACCTATTAATTGTTATTTAAGTGAAATTACTGAACTTAAATATACAAGCTTGATAAAAATCATCATTAAAGAAGAAAATTTCAAATGGCATTTAGAGGCTTTTGCATCTGAACTCTTCATATATATATATATATATATATATATATATATTTCTGAAGCTATACAATAGGTTTATGCAAGAAACAGAAAAACAAGTTGAAAATTAATTTATGCCGCACCATTCTGGAAGTACAACTGATATTTAGTAGATCAGCAAGATTATCAGTAAGTAATGACTTAAATACCATCTACTCAAATAAATAAATACTGCTGGCTTCAGAAGACTAACACCTTGTCCTAACCAGACACCATGTGATCAGATTTCAGTGAATCACAGATCACAGCCAATCAGAAGACTGTGTGGGCGGGCTCTCTACTGTCTCGCACTCGCAATGATGGGAACTTAATCAAATGATGAACCCAGATTAACATTATTCGAAACACATCATTAGTAAGCGTCATGATTTATACGTGTTTACTCAAAGATCACAGTTAAACCATCTTTTTTTCTACTCTCAAAATCTAATGTAAATTTCTCATTGTGGATAATTAAACTCATGCACAATGATATACAATTCAAATGAAAGCATTTCATTATCATACAAAACACAATCAGTTACTGAGCTTATTAAGTAAGGAATCCATGCAGGTTTTGAATAGAATTGGGATGAGTAAATAATTTTGTACAATGTATAATATGAGAAGTGGCAGTAAAATAATAGCACCCTAAAATGACCCAATTAAAATTCAGGGCCACAACACCGTCAATGCCTCATCACCTCCTCCCCCGAGCGCACCTGTTCTCGGGCCACGGTTTGTGTTTACTAATCATCAAGAGGTCACAATCTCCGTTTGACCCAGAAGACACCTGGCCGATGATCAGATGGCACTGCAGTCGGCTTCGTCTAGTTACAACATCTGTGCTGTTGTTTTGCTGTGGACGCCGTTCCACTTCTCGTCCTATTTAACCATTCGTTTACTCGCAAGGAAATCATCATCTCCCATCGCTCATCTCAGACTTATTGAGCAATTAATTAAACTCAAGTGCTTTCTGTTGAGGGATATCTGCGATGAGTCAAAAGCGTCTCACAAGCTTGAGGCGGTGACACTGGCATTTCGGGTCCCATTAAAGCCTGCTAGCATCCTGCGCTTCAGTTCACAACAGTTTTTTTTTCCTGCAAAAAAGCATCTCTAATTAGAGGAGACACACAGCTAGCTCAAAAAGCTCATTGAGTCTTTTCCCCCTTCCCATCCCAAAATGTCCTTCCTAGCAGCTTCCGCCTGGATTTGTTTCACTGCGATTTAAAGGTCATTTTTCTGTAAGTTGCGAAGGAGCTTCTCAGTTCAGTATAAGACAATGCAAAGAGCAGTTTTAGCATATCTCAAACTCCAGGACATGCAACCAATGACACTATGTAAATTGAATGGCATTTTAATTAAATCACATTAACATACATGATATCATGTAGGGCTGTCACAGCATTTGATGAACTGTGTTGATTTTGTTTTATCTTAAAATGAATCAGTGGAAGAGGAGTTTTAGAAAGACGCTGCTGGATTTTTACAAAATTGGGAAATATTGTGACACCCCTAAAAGGATATAGGTAAGCAATAAGGTAATTGAGGCTTTGCTGTATCACAAAGCGGAGTGTCTGCAACCCCTTCAACCGTGACTTATTCAAGAGACAGCACTAGCCTTGAGTACATAATTGCTTTTATAAAACAGTTACCACACAATACAAATAGAAAAAATATGTATCAATGCAACTTTGATGAAGTAAAATCACTAAAAGCCTTCCGTAGGATTAGGGGTCAGGGGGTGGAGATGGGTAGGATTAGGGGTGGGGATAGGGGTCAGGGGGCTGAGATTGGTAGAATTAGGGGTGGGGTTAGGGTTCAGGGGCGGAGAGGGACAGGATTAGGGGTGGGGTTAGGGGTCAGGGGGTGGAGACTGGTAGGATAAGGGGTGGGGTTAGGTGTCAGGGGGCGGAGATGGGTAGGATTAGGGGTGGGGTTAGGGGTCAGGGGGCGGAGATTGGTAGGATAAGGGGTGGGGTTAGGTGTCAGGGGGCAGAGATGGGTAGGATTAGGGGTGGGGTTAGGGGTCAGGGGGCAGAGATTGGTAGGATAAGGGTGGGGTTAGGTGTCAGGGGCGGAGATGGGTAGGATTAGGGGTGGGTTTAGGGGTCAGGGGGCGGAGATTGGTAGGATAAGGGTGGGGTTAGGTGTCAGGGGGCGGAGATGGGTAGGATTAGGGGTCAGGGGGCGGAGATTGGTAGGATATGGGGTGGGGTTAGGTGTCAGGGGACGGAGATGGGTAGGATTAGGGGTGGGGTTAGGGGTCAGGGAGCAGAGGTGGGTGGGTCAGGGGGGTGGAGATTGGTAAAATTAGGGGAAGGGTTAGGTGTCAGGGACAGATATTGGTAGGATTAGGGGTGGGGTTAGGGGTCAGGGAGCGGAGATTGGTTGGATTAGGGGCAGAGAAGGGAGGGATTAGGGGTGGGGTTAGGGTTCAGGGGGCGGAGAGGGATAGGATTAGGGGTGGGGTTAGTGGTCAGGGGCGAAGATTGGTAGGAAAAGGGGTGGGGTTAGGTGTGAGGGGGTGGAGATTGGTAAAATTAGGGGAGGGGTTAGGGGTCAGGGACGGATATTGGTAGGATTAGGGGTGGGGTTAGGGGTCAGGGAGTGGAGATTGGTTGGATTAGGGGCAGAGAAGGGAGGGATTAGGGGTGGGGTTAGGGGTCAGGGGTGGAGATGGGTAGGATTTGGGCTGGGGTTAGGGGTCAGGGGTTCAAAGATGGGTAGGATTAGGGGTGGGGTTAGGCATATGGATGGAGATGGGTAGCATTAGGGGTGGGGTTAGGGTTCAGGAAGCGGAGATTGGTTGGATTAGGGGTGGCGAAGGGTAGGATTAGGGGTGGGGTTAGGGTTTAGGGGGTGGAGATGGTTAGGAATAGGGGTGGGGTTAGGGGTCAGGGGTTTGGAAATGGGTAGGATTAGGGGTGGGGTTAGGGATAGAGATGGAGATGGGTAGGATTAAGGGTGGGGTTAGGGATCAGGGGGTAGAGATAGGTAGGATTAGTTTTGGGGTTAGGGGTCAGGGGGCGGAGATGAGTAGGTTTAGGTATATGTACGGTGAGAGCAGTTGGATCTGGATCCAACTCCTCCCCCTGGATTTGATGTTCTGCAGTGAGGACCATCTTGAAAAATCCCAAAAGTTATGAAGACATTACAATAATATGTCAGACTAGTAAAGCTTTAAATTGACAGGCTAAGGAATTAAGGAATATAGGTTAAAGAGCATGATTAAATGCATTGATATTTTAACTAAATTAATGAAATAAATTAGCATCCCAAATTATTACTAATTCCAGCAGACACGTGCATCTAATGCTATTAATTGCATTAAAACACTATAGCTTCTCGCTCAGATTATTGGCTCAGATTTCATCCTCAAGCCCGTCCTGCATCCTCCCTCAATGGCAGCGGTGAAATGTAATCCTTATTACTGGAACCCCAGGAGAGGATTAACTGAGTTTATTAAAGCACTTCATCACGAACATTAAGTCAAGTTGACACTTGGCACATCACATGGACACGTACGTCAAAAGGCATGACCCTGACGCGACATGGACGGATGTGGCACAGAGTTGCTGGCCAGGAGTGTTTATTCGTTTTTTTGCCATGGATCACTAATTTGGGCAAAGTTAGAGTGCTTATATTCTCATCAATCTGTCGTTTTGATTCTTGTTGTTAGTTTATTGTTGAGGTTACAGTGTTTCCCACAGGATTTTGTGAAATTATGGGAGGTGGACTTAATCATTTTATATTATTATTATTATATATTAGAAGAGTA